AGCACATACCTAAAAAAATAAAAAACAATTGATATAATTTAGCATTATACTTATGTAATTCAGTTTAGTCTATTATAAATTTATTTAATTATATTTACCTTTTCTAAAGTATGCATAATTTCTATTCGTGTTTGTGATTCTGCAGAACGTAAAGATTTGATCAGAATTTGTACAGTTTCTTCATAAGATCTTCCCATCATTCTTCCTAATTTTTCATACATACATCCAACACAACATATCGCAGCTCTGAAAAATAATAATTTATTAACTAATGATTAAGAACAATAAATTCTATAAAAAAAAAGGATTTTAATTTTTGTTTACTTACAATTTTGTCGGTAAGAAACTTGGTGAGTCATCTTTATTTTTAAGAATGTCATTACATTTATTAACCGTATCAAATAGAAGGAACGTATCACCTACGCTAAATAAAGTAGCAAGACATCTTGCAATAAGACGTCGTGTGGGAGGTCCAGGTGCACCTTGCATGTGTTTAGTCAATTGTTCTACCAATTTTTGTTGGCATCCTTTTATGTCACTCTTTAATTTTAGAAAGACAATGTCAATATCCTTGAAAAATGATATATACTTCAAAATAAAAAATGATTAAATATTACCTTTTGTGCAGCAACTAAAACTTTATCCAAAAAACGTAACCATTCAAATATAAAAACTGGTCTTTTAGCTTCAGGAATTTGATCAAGAGCATCCTCATTGAGGGTCAGACTATGACTCAACTCCATCATCATTTCTATATGTTTGTACTAATTTTACACTTCACTCACTATTTTGCTATATTATTAACATAAATTATTATATAGTATTTTTATTAATGATTTAAAAGATTGATAATCTTAATAATTATTAACATTAATAGATTGATGACATTTTTTTTTTTAAATGTATAAAATTAAATATCAATTTATTGGAGTATTTAAAGCACAAGCATTGTACATACCATCTAATTTGTATATACTTTCATTTTTTTCTTTATTATTTAATAACAATCAAAAATATCAAATATGTGACATACCAAATTAAACTAAAGTTTATTAATTCGTCGGTTGTAACATTGCTTCTATTGCTTAATCTTCACTTGTAATTTCCCCTTGTTTTATATATATATATATATATGATACTATCAAAAACCGATGAAACGTATATAATATCTGTATTATGATTAAATATTATTTTTGCCATTAAATTTGATCATTATTGATTTAATTTTATACGATATATAATATAAATTAAAAAAGAGCGACAACCAATTTCCTCCCGATGACAAATACTGAAATATGTAGGGCAGATTAAAGGCTTCAAAGCATCTGTGAACCAAACTGACTACCATTTTAACTCTACATCTTTGAAGCTAGATGGCGCAGCGATACATTGCCGGGATGTTTTTAATTTTACAGTTACTAATATGAAGAACATAATTTTTAAGTTAAAAATGTTATAATTATATTAACAAATGTCTAGATTTTTATGTAAATAAATTGAACATTATTTGTTGATAAAATAAATAATAAAACTAATTTTTTATAATAATTATTTTTTTTTCTTTACATCATAGTGTTATACCGATTAATAGAGAAAAATATAATATCATATTAAATTAAAATGTGTGAATAAATTTGAGTATGAAAAGCAATGAGTTCCTGTTTGTTCTTTGAACGAGCCTATTAGCTTAAAAATATATTGATATTTTTTTTTTTTTACAACTTCAGATAAATATTGACACATACTTATAAAGTTTACATTTACTCGTTGTTGTGTGTAAAAAGATCAAGTTAACGCGTTATTAGACTTTAAATTTTACTTTCTGCATGTTCGTGCATATATTTAATTTTTAAATATTTACATAATTCTTTGTATATCGTGATCACTCACGTTTGTCCAATTTTTATTAATTATTTATCATATATTAAATATGAACAATTATCTTGTCTGAAATAATAATAGCCAAAAATAAATAATTCCATTAAAACAAAAACAAAGTTGCTTTTTATGTTCTGTTAAAAAAGAACTTTGAAAAAAATTGTTTACAACATTTAATTCCACAAGAAATGCACCTTTCTCTTTTAAAGTTTTTTTAATACGGATTGTAAACAAACAAGATATTCAGGTGTTCTTTTAATCATGAATCACCCTATATATAAGTATAGTGTATACTTTTTTTTTCATATTTGGCTATCGTTTCAAATAAGGTAAGTACATTTTCTGATCTTGATGTCATGTGTATTAACATTTATAAATCCGTTATTTTTATGTAATATTTATATAGTTTTAGTCGTTTACCGACAATAATAAAAATAAATACCAACAAAAAATAACGATAATTGATCTGTTTTTATAGTATTGTATATTCGTCATTGATTTATTAAAAAAAAAAAAAAAATAGCCACGTGTAAACATTGACAAATGAAAAAATTAATAAAAAAGTTCAAGATTCATTAAATAGCTTCCATTTATCAAGTATACTCATTACCATTTGAATTAGATGAAATGTTAATAACTATCTATACAATGAAATCATGAATAAAAAATATCAAAGTGATTTGGTATAATGTATAACTTCCGTGTACATTGTATACTTATTAATTTATCGATAGATAAAAATTATAAATTTAAATATAAATGATTAGAAAGGAGTACATAGTATAAGTAAGTATCTTTCGATAATTGTCAATATTTTCATTAAAGTTAATTTAAGGCTATGATATACATATATATATATATATATATATATA